TTGCACACCACTTTCTGCTTCAGCAACACCCAGCCAGCCTTCTGACAACCAGATGGCAAATTTCAGTCTGGGTCACGTGCCTGTGAGCTGTATTCCCAGCAACTAGTTGAACGTCTGGCACAGAGTTGGCAATCGAAAAATACGTGGATGAATGAATGAGTTAATACACTGAATCCACATGTTCAGGATGCTCACAGAGTGCAGCTACTAAGCTCAGAACTCATTTCCCCGTTGGACTTTGCTCCATCTTGATTGTTCAGAGTAGGGGACCTTCTGGCTCCTGAAGGGCATGCAGACTTGACGGTGTCACATTTGCGGCATTTTGGCCTGTCCATAGGTGCCCCTCTCCAGCAATTCTTCCTTGAACTCTCCTTGCCCTCCTGGGTTTAGATCATGTGACCTTGAGCCACTCCCTGAGATTTTGCTGAGTGTCAGCTTTCTTGCCTGTAAAATAGGATTGATAGCATCATCTTGGAGGGTCATTGTGCTGATGGAGGGAAAGAGCAAGCTGATGATTTTGCAGGGCCTGGGTGCACAGTAAGGGTTCCAATCCCCAAAGCTTTAATTGTGGCTTTGTGACTCCAAAGTTGTGGAGGCTGGAATGGGCCAAGCTGCACTGGTCTCCAACAGTGATCTCAATTCATCAACAGTTGCACTGATGAATAAAGCAATGGAATTGAATAAGTTAACCTCTCCAAATATATTGCCCAAACTCTGGTCTTCTAGAGCAAGCAGGGAACATCCTTCAGAATTTTAACACCTTTAAGAAAGGTATTAAACTTGCCGACAATTGCTTAACTAGGCAGAAATTGACATACAATATTAACGACAGCGCACAGTTGGCACTGTTCTAATTTTACATGAGTTTCCTTGAGGCATCCTCAAAAAAACTATATTATTCCCATTTGACAGATGAGGAAAGAGATGCAGAGAAATTACGTGACTTGCCATAGGTCACACAGCTGGGATTAAATCCAGCAGAGTGTATATTCTTAACTACTCTGTTTATTACCTATGTATATAGGTCCTTTCCAGTCATTTAAAAAAAAAGATTTATTTATTTATGCATACAAAACTGGGGTACAGGCCAGAGGTGTGGGGGGTGGTGAGAAAATTCACCAGAGACAGCCTGGGAAGCAGAATCGACTGAAATATACTGCTGGGGGGAGCAGCGGGGAAACAGGAGAAGTATGCTGTACCTTGTGGATCACCTCAGTGGTTGGGGATCGAACTGGTGCTGCAGTGGCTGAGGATAGCTCTATATTGCTGTGCTATAACCTGTTGAACCACCATGGAGGGCCCCCTTCCCAGTCTTGTGTGGAACAGGAAAATAATTGGAGCCCATCAATAGAAGAATGCTACATATCTGTCCATCCCTGTAGTGGAACATTATACAGCCAGGAAAAAGGAGACAGGTGTGTATATTCTGGAATGAAATGATGACTACATTATTGGAAGGAAAAACCTCAGAACAATATTAATTGTACAATCCATGTGTATATAAAAACATTTTTAAGTCTGTTTACCTGTTCATAGGTTCATTGAGAAATGTCTGGAAGGACAAACACTAAACAGTTACATTATTAAGGAGGGGAAGGAAATTATTATTAATAATTAAGGCAATTATTAAGGAGGGGAGCTCCATGGATTCCCTATCACTTTAATGCTCACCATAAGCATGCATTTTTAGGTAATTAACAGACAGAAGAAAGTCAGTTCATAGTGAGCATAGGGGCTGGGGACCAGTCTATCCCTTCAGCTCTTGTCCCCTCTTCCAGATGCTGCTCCTTTTTAGAGTCCTCCCCAGTATCTTCCACTCACCCCAAAGCTGCCTCAGCCTGACTCACCCTCTTGAGCATTTCCCAAGCCCCTTGGGCTTTCCTGAGATCAGGTCTGTCATCTGGATCGAGACATCTGCAAAGGCTCTCAGTTACGAGGTCTTGGTCCTACCCTTGTGCCACGCCTGAGGGTGACAGCACAGTTAGGCCAATGACACAGTGGACCTGGTAGGCCAGAGGCTGGCAGGTCACCAGGCATAGAGCAGGGAAGGGCTGGCTGGGTGGGAACTTGAGGGACTGGGCCCTCAGCTTTCCTGAGAATCCCTGGCCAAGCCTTCCAGGGGCTAGAGGTGCAAAATCTGCAAGGCCACTTCCATTTTCGGTTCTAAGCAAGGACTTTTATAGACTTTTCTGAGAGTTGGGGAGAGTGTGAAGCCCAGAAGGGATGGAGTTGGCAGATGAAAGCCGAAGGTGTATGTGAATCTTCCCTGGTGAGGTGGCTACACCCTCACTCCCCTGTGACTCCCAAGAGGCTGTAGGGGGCAGGCTTGTGGCCCTGGAGGGTGGGAGCACTCTACCCTTGGGGGAGGGGAGTCTGGATGGACCAAGACTGAAAGGGGTGCCATACCCTGGGAGACCCCTCCAGAAAGCCTGGGGAGTGTGGTCTGGACACTGGGCACAGAACACGGAAAGAGAGTGCGGGCAGAGAGGAAGCAGGGAGGGGGTGGGGAGGGCTGGCACTGAAGACCTTCTAGCTGTGGGAGGCTTGCTTCTGAGCATCTCGCCCTAGGTCTTGGGGATACAGAAATCAGTCATCTAGACTTAGTGTGAAGATTCAACGAGACAGAGATGCTAGCACAGCACCAGGATGGTGCGTGAAAGTAGCAGTCTACACACTCCTTGTGCACTCCATCTGCATCTGGTTGCGTGGACAATGTACAATACAGGATTCTTAGTTGTAAGCTGTGGAAACTGTTTCAGGAGGATCTAAGGAGAAAGGCAATTCATTTAAGAGATGTTGGGGAAAGGCCTCCCCGGTGGCAGAGTGGTTAAAGTCTCATCACTATCAAACTATTGCCAGCTACTGCAGCACAAGTTTGACCCCCACCAGGGAGCTGACCCACATGGCGCTGCAGACCTCTCCTGGCATGCCCGCTGCTCCCCTCAGCGGTGCATTTCAGCCAAACTGCCTGTTCTCCTCCCCACTCTGTCTCTGGTGAATCCTCTCACCACCACCCCCATACCTCTGGCCTGTATCCCAGCTCTTCTATGCATAAATAAATAAAAATATATCTTTTAAAAAAAAAAAAAAGTTGGGAGCCCTCCCTGGTGGCATAGGGGTTGGAGTGCTGCACTGCTAAGCCAAGCCGTGGCCACTTCAGTGCAAGTTCAATCCCCACCCAGGAGCTGACCCACGTGGCATGGTGGACTTCTCCTGTCTCACCCATTGCTCCCCTCAGCAGTGTACTTTGTCAGTACTGCCTGTTCTGCTCCCCACTCTGTCTCTGGTGAATCCTCTCACTGCCCTGCACCTCTGGCCTGTACCCCAGTTCTGTATGCATAAATAAATTAAAAAAAAAAGACATTGGGGAAGCTCATGAAGGCCTGAGAAGCTGCAGAATCAGGCTGAGAAGGCAGGTGGGAGCCCTGGACGCCACACCTAGGGAGAACTTTGCCACACCCTTTGAACCCCTTTCCCCTCTGCTGGCCCGGAAGCTGACATGACCTGCTACCTCAGTGCACTGGCATCAGGCCGACAGCCTGGGCTTCAGAGGGGCTCACCCTGTCTCACATTGCATTGTTTTGGTGGGCCAGGGAGGTGGGAGTGAAGAAGGTGCCCCTTTGGGCTATTAGAAGGGAAGGTACCTTCTCTCTCCTTCTATACCCATGAAGGAGAAATGTTCTAGAGGCTGGGCATCCAAAAAACCCTGACAAATGTCCACAAGGGAACCAAAAAATTAGTAGACAATGATTCCTGCCCTTAGACACAACCACGTGGAGGTCAGTTCTGTGGGCAAATCACTGTGACAGGAAGTGATGGCGGCCAGGGAGAGCAGCCCAAGGCTGAGGGCACAAAGAAACGCCAGTGATGGGCCTGTGCCCTCCGTGAGAGTCCCAGACCACCTGTGGCTCCAGACCACCTGGGTGGGGGGCTCGGCTGGAGCTGCGTGACTGTCTGGGCCTGGGTCACCCTGGCTGGACCCAGTGCCACATGGACACACCCTGGGCGGAAGGTGTACTGCTCCTGAGAATAGGCCTAGAGGTTGCTTCCTGGCCTCTGGGACCTCCCGTTGGTACCTGGTGACTTTGTTCAAGCATTTTCCAGTCCTTGAATTACCTCTTGCCCTGGGGGGGTCTTAGTTCTCCATCTGGAAGAAAGTTTCCCAGAGTGGGGAGACCAGAAGTGGGGGGAGGAGGAGGACAAGAGGGACGAGAGCAGTGGGAGGAGGAGGGGGTTTGGAGGGAGGAGGAAGAGGAGGCCACTTGTGCTGTAAGGTCGCACCCTGCTTTTCTCTGTCCCACCCCATCTCCCACGTTTCCTGCGCTTGTCCCTGCCTGTTCCTACCCTGTTGTCACGGTGGTGTCTTCCCTGCCATCATCATTAACCAGCTCTAGTTCAGCTTGCCCCCCCCCCCAGGGCTCCCCAGCCTCCCTCTGCCCCCTCCCTCCTCAGCCACCTGGGCTCCCTGAGACCACACCTGCCCCGCCCCCACCCTGAAGGCCTCACAGCTGCCTTCACAGCTGCAGTCCAGCAATCAGCGAGTTGCCCAATACAGCTGCCACAGGTAAGTAAAGTCAGGTGGGCGGGTCCATCAGGTCTAAAGGGACCCCGGCGGCCTGCCGGCCCCCCTCTTCCTATTTGTGGCAACTTCAAATGTCACACCTTCCTGTCATCTCTCACACCCACTGGGGCCTCAACCACAGGCAGCAGCTGCTGCCCGCTGCCCACCTCTCGCCTCCTGTCGGCTGGGACTGCTGCAGAGCCAGGTGAAGCACCTCTGGTGGCCAGGCGGCCACCGTGGGGACTTGAGCCTTGTGCTTTGAGACCTGGGGAGGATGGGAGGAGCTGGAAAAGGGGAGAGAGACAGGTTTTGGAGGGCTGAGACAGGTCTGATGGGTTGTTGCCAGGAGGGGCTGGCAGGGAGCGTGGGAGTGGGGAAGGGGTCCTGAGGCACGTGCTGAGCTGAGGGGATTTCTGTGCAGGGAGACCCTCGGTGGAGGATGGCCGAGGAGCAGACGCCACCTCAGCAGACGGCGGGACTCGCGGGCCAGCCACAGGCCCTGGGCGGCCGCTTGGCCTCTGCCTTCTGTCTTGGTGAGAGGGCTGAACCTGGGCAGTCAGTGGCAGGGACTGGGGCTTCCTCAGTCACCCCGAAATGCCGTATGAATGAGCTAGAACACTTCCCAGTGAGGGGAGCCATGGTTGATGGTTCCATTGTGAAAGGGACCCAGTTCCCAATTCCCTGAGGTCCTGAGGAAGTCTGGGGTGTTTCGCAAATCTCCTCGAGGTCATTTCCCTCTCTTCCCCAGGGAAGGAGGTCAGGCCAGCTCTGCTCCTCACTCTGACTGGCCGGTCCCCTCTCAATCCTCATCCTCTACCACCAGGAAGGCACCAGCAGCTTCTAAATGTCCTCACACACCTGCTATCCCACTTTCCCATCTTGCAGATAAGGAAACTGAGGCCAAGAAGGACCGTGACTGGCTCCTGGTCACACAGTGGGTCGGGGGGAGGGGGCGGGGCGGAGGTGACCTGGAAGCTGGACTCCTATCTGGAGGAGCTTCCGGTCACCTGTGACTGATATGTCTTCCCAGCAGGCAGAGTGGACATGAAGGGGGGGCCTGCTCTAGAACTGGATTGTTGCCATAAGACCAAGGCCCTGGGGAGCACAGGGGGCTCCCTGACCCCCAGCCTGAAGCTCAGCCCAGAGGACCAGGTAAGCTCAGCCCAGGGGACCAGGTAGCTTTGACCAGGTAGCTTTGACCAGGTAGCCTGTTGGGATGTCAGGAAGAAGTGGGGGGGGGGGGCTCAGATCCATCTGTGCGGATTAAAGTCTTCGATGAGGACTTTCTCCAAGTTCACTTTGGCGCCTTTCAAAACACACTAGATGATCTGAACACAGTGGAACCAGGGTGGTCAGGAAGGCCCGGAAGGAGGGGGCCCAGGGCTCGATGAGGGATCTAATTTGCAGGGGAGGGCAAACCTGGGGTAGATAACAAAACCCCTGGCGGAATAAATCTTTGGCTGAGGAGAGGGGAAGCCGTCAGACTTGGTAGTGGTGGGGTCTTATCCTCTATCCCTTTGAAAAGCAAGTTGGGATGGTCCCGTCCCAGGGACCCAGGAGTCCAGCTCCTGATTGCCAAGCCCCGTGCCTCGTCCCTCCAGGTCTTCCCAGCCTGCATGTCACTTCCAGACACAGAGGACACTTCTGGTCAGTCCCACGCCAGCTGGCTGTGCCCCATGTCACTGGTGCCAACCCGGTCCACCCTGCTGGCCTGCCCCCAGGGCCGGGACCTCTACCTGTGCACCCTACAGCCTGCGCACCTGAGCACAGCTCCACAGCGCCTGGGACAGGATATCTTGAGCACAAGTAAGGCCAGGGTATAGGGCTGCGCCGTGGTGGGGAGCACTGTTAGGTCAGGGTGGTGCGGGGCGGCCGAGGTCACTGGTGAGGACAGAGCTAAAGCACACGTTATTTCCCGCCACGTTTCGGGCTGGAGTTCTTACCTGGGGCACAGGGGACTTACAAGAGGGTAGCCCCTGAACCAAAGGGGTGGGGAGCGTAGGTGGGTGAGGGAGCTGGTGTAGGGGTAGCCAAAGTCCTGGGGAGCAGGAGGAGTGGCACTTTGCCTAGAACTAGAACATTTGAGCTGAAGGGGTCTTATAAGAACATGGCTGGGTGTCATGGAGTCTGGGGTGGGGTCTCGCTTCTCCCCTTTCCGCCCTGTGACCTTGACCCTATTGCTGAGGCTCCTGTCTCTTTCTCCTCAGTGCAGGCTCTAGCTTTCCCTGTGTTCGAACTCCTGCATCGCCATACACCGTTTCCTATGCCACGGTGGCTTTCTGGGCAGGAGAGCTGCAGTGTCCTTCATTTCTGGGACCCAGCACAGAGCCTGGCATGGAACAGCTCAATGGTTGGAGTGAATAAATGAGGGTCCAAGCAGAAACCTATTTTATAATATTTTTCTTTTTAGTATTTTACTTTCTTTCATTCCAAGCTTAACCTGACTGCACTGGCCCTTGCATCCCAGTCTCCCTGGATAACTCTTCTCTACTGACCTAAAACTCCCCATGTTCCAGTCAGCCCAGAGCCCTCTGCCCTCTGTCCCTTCCCTCCCTTTCTCCTCTCCTGTCTCCTTTATCTCAGTAGCCCTATTTGCTAGAACTTCCTGCCATTTGGGAAACTTTCTATGCTTGTATCTTTTCAAGGCTGCAAGTGTGAGTGAGGAACTGAAATTTTTATTGTATGTATTTTAATTAAATGTGGTCACAGGCACCCAGTTTGGGATACAACAGATCCAAAGTCAGGTTCACGGCCCCAGATTTACGATTCCAGCTCAGATCTTCCCTTTCAACCCCGAACCAGCTCATCCAACTGCCCATCTGATACCCACCTGGGTGTCTCACAGGCTTCTTGAAACATCTTCTCTTCCTAGAATTATCAGCACTGCACAATGCTGACGGCTTTTCTTGGTACGCAAGCGCAGACCAGGAAAGCAAGTTGCTGTGGGCTAGAGTTCCCTTCCAAACCTGACCCAGGCGGGTTAGACTGGGAACAAACCTACGCCCCTGGCTGAGGGACCCTGACAGTCTTCTCTTTCCTGCCCAGGGCGCCAGCCACCAAAGCTCAGTGCCAGCTCCACGGGTGACGAGAAACTCACAGCGAAGTATCCTCTGACCAGGGACAAGATGGGAAGCCAGCCAGAAAAAGCTGACGAGGGGGGCCCCGGCCCAGCCGCCTTTCCTCATAAAAGCTCTTCCCCAACTAGCCGGCAGAAGCGAAAGGGCCCCAGTCCCAGGGCACTCTGTGCCTGCCCCAGTCCCACTCCGGTCTTCAGAGCCCTCCCGGTCCACTTCCGCTCCCTCTGGCCCGCCCGTCCTCTTCCCCTGCCACCATCTTACCTGCTCACCTATGCGGCTCTACCTTCTGTCCAGTGTTCCCCCCTCTTCATGCTGCCCCACGATGCCTTCTACCCCACAATGGCTGTGCCCAGCTTGCTGAGGGGTGTCGATGAGCCTGGGCACTACAGTACCCAGGAGGGGACCCTGCTTCCCTACCTTGGGGTCTCCCAAGCCAATGAACATACCCAGCCCTCTCAGGCCCAGAATCCAGGCCCCAGCATTGCCAAGACCTACTCTCTAGGGTGGCAGAGGGCTCGCAGGGTGGCTTCGGCAAAACAGGTCTCTTCGGGGTCTCAGGCAGGCACTACAGCGCTGCCCTACCCGCTGAAGAAAGAGAACGGCAGGATCCTGTATGAGTGTAACGTGTGTGGCAAGAACTTCGGGCAGCTGTCCAACCTCAAGGTATCTGCCCCCTGGGGAGACCCCACTTCTCCCCTCAGCACCATTCAGTGATCCCCGTCCATCCTGCTTCTAGAATCAAGCCCCGTGAAGCCAGGAGGTAGGCCAGGGTAGCCTCTGGCCTGCAATCTTGGGTGGTTCCTGTGGCCTCTCCTGGTCACTTTTGTAGAAAGTCCTCTCCGCTCTAAAAGATTGTCTATGAGATCATCTGACTTAAGTTAAAAGTGGGGAAACCGAGTACCCCAATAGGAAGGTTACTTGAAATTACTCAATTAGGCCCTGATCTCAAACTCTCAACACTTAATACAAAGCCGTTTCCTGAACAACCATTCTTTCTGGATTCCCGGTTCTCCTTTTGCTTATCTGAAGTTCAGGTAAGGAAACGGGTAGATTCTAGAGTCTAGACCACAGACCTGACAACCAGCCTTTTTCAAGTGGGATCCCACAAATCTGGGCGCCACGCTGTTGGCGTCATCTTCCACCTTGTCCAGCAGGGGGCGACCGAGAGCGCACCGCTGTGCGCGCCGGAAGCACTCGCTGAATTTGAGGAAAAGTTATGGTTATTGGGGAAGAGACTTGCTCTTGATAGATGCTCTAGGGCCTGAGTTCTTAAACCTCAAAGAGCCTCAAAGCACCTGGTGACCTAGTGACCGTGCAGATTCCTAGAGCCCGCCCAAGAGCTCTTTGACACAGCTGGAGGGCAGTGGCGCCTGAGGTCCAGTTTCGCAGGCTCCCAGGGGTGCTGATACCCCGTGGGCGCACGGCACTCTGAAAAACACCTTTCTCGAGGGTCCCTTAGCTGGCCTCGGACCTCTGCTGTCTTCCCTACGCAACGCAGCAGGAGTGGAGTATACTGAGGACAGAAGCGAAGCCCTAGGGGTGATAGAGAAGCAAGGGGTTTGAGAGGTCTTGATGCCAACAAGGGTCCTGTGGGCATGTGGGTGGAGATTTGGAGAGGATCCCGACCCTGCTGGGCGCCGGGGCAGTTGGCAGCCTTTCCCCACACCTGGCTCAGGTTCACCTGCGCGTGCACAGCGGGGAGCGCCCGTTCCAGTGTGCCCTGTGCCAGAGGAGCTTCACCCAGTTGGCCCACCTGCAGAAGCACCAACTGGTGCATACTGGGGAGCGGCCCCACAAGTGTCCGGTGAGACCTCCCTCTGCCCCTCCCCCACTCCTGCAGGCTGCTGAGGCCTTTCTGCCGATGGCAGTCCCTTAGCCTCCATCCCCCACTAGGGAGCAAGTGGAGACAAGGCAGGAGGCCAGGGTAGCGCTGGGAAGGTGCAGGAGGGGTCCTGGAGGGCTCTGTGGGGCCAACCGAGAGCGCCTCTGTAGGGTGTGGGGGATGGGTACCCAATACCCACTTCTCAGGATTGCTGGAGGCATTCATGCCATAGGGTGTGCATGCGAAGAATACCAACACCCTGAGTAACATCAGCTCAGAGTTAGCGCCATCCTCCTTGGGGCCTCACACCTCCCTTGGGAGGTCAGAAAGACAGGGATTCTTTGGTTTACAAAGGCTGATAGGAAAGCAGTGGCATGATTAGGGGCCTGGGCCACCTGGGTTCAAATTCTACCCCTGTCTCCAAGGTGTGTCACCTTTGGCTAGTTACTTCACTCTGCCGAGCTCTGCTTTCTCACTGTAACATAGGAGTCGTGCTAATACTTAGTCATGCTTCTCCAGGCATGTGGCAGCTCCAGTAAATATTAATTACACTCAAGTTGCAGTGCCGTGCATAGTTCCATGTAGTGATGTCATACAGTCCACCATGCCTATGAAGTTAGATACCGTCACAGGTTACCAATAAGAGGGGACGGCTCAGAGAGGGGTTCACCTGTACAAGATCACTCAGAGTGTAAGAATCCAGATCTGCCTGGCTCCAGTGTGTGTGTGGGGGAAATAACGAAGGCGTGGGGAAGGAGGGAGGAAGGAGCTTCCAGGACTGCACTGACCAGGAGATGGTTGTGGGGTGGGGGTGGTTCCAAGATGAGGAGAGGGAGCAGAGATCCAGAGCCAGCCTGGAGGGCAGAGCTGACGCCAGTGCTCACTCCTGTCAGATGTGCCACAAGTGCTTCAGCAGCTCCAGCAACCTCAAGACCCACCTGCGTCTGCACTCAGGGGCCCGGCCCTTCCAGTGCCGTGTCTGCTCAAGTCGATTCACCCAGCACGCTCACCTGAAGCTGCACCATCGGCTGCACACTCCACAGCTCCGCAGCCTAGCGCACACCCACCTGCCCCTGGCGTCCCTCGCCTGCCTCGCCCGATGGCACCCGGGGGCACTAGATTTTGTGGCAGTGCCACCAGAGAGTCAGATGGGGTGGGACGTGGACAAGGTCAAGGTGTCTTCGTCACCCCAGGGAAAGCAAGGACAAGCAGCCTAAGAAGTGGGGCCAGCACTGCCCTGGGGAGGGGGCAGGGACAGCACAATTAAAGGATTTTCTCTGTGATGAACTAAGACCTTCTCAGTTTCAATAGTGGAGGGAGAAGCCTGTATGTATCTGCCAGACCACACTCTACAGCTCAGGAATGCTGCCTGTGCCTGGGGTGGGCACCTGCAGCCACCTACCTGCAGGGCTGGGTTGGGCTCTCCTCCCTCTCTGGCACCAGGCCCTCCATCTCAGCCCATCAGTGGACGGTCTAATCCCCTGGGACTCCACAGGGCTGCAGACTGTGCTAATGAGCCCAAGGCACCATTACCCTCTTTTCTGAACAGCTTCCAGTGCCTGTCATTGCTAGGTCACTATGCCTTCTCAGCACTCCTGCCCTGTCAGGTGGGGTGTGCCCCTCCCTCTGAATGTGCCAGAACCTGAGCCCCCATGGGGTGGAGGAACAGGGACAAAAGGATGGCAGTGTCCACTCATGACCTGGAAACATGATGGCCTCCATGTGCCAGGACTAGTCACCACAGAGGCAAACACTAAGGGGATGCCTGGCTCAGAAGAGGGGCAGGGACCCTACAAGCAGTCCAGGCAGGGCACAAGGGGCTGAGAGAGCCAGAGAACTGGAGCCTCCTGGCAGCCTTTCTCTCCCTGCAGTTCCAGAGGTTCCCTTAAATGGGGGTGTTTCCGGCACCCTTGGAGCATTAGGGAGGTGACATCAGTGGTGCAATCATAATAACCAATCGCTGTTATCAAATAATACACTGATAGAGAGTGGGGTTCCTGGGCCAACTTCCAGCAGGGGGCCCATAAGCATCTCTGGTTTCACACGCATGCCCACCTGTGCTGGGCAAGGGTCCCACTGTGTGGAAGCTTCTCCAGGATGAAGAGAATCCTCATAGCGAGTGAGGGCAGGGGGCAATGACAGGATCCCTTTCGACCCCACCAGTAATCAAGGTCTGGGTTCCACACTCACACCGCTAACTTCCTCTTAAATCCCAAGCCAGAAGCTATGTCCTCGGGCTCGGCCCCGCCCCGCCTGGAAGACCACGCCCACCCAGCCCGACCACGCCCCCGTGCGCTAGCCACTCCTCCTCACGGGGTGCAGACCCCGCGCTCAGCCCCGCCTCCAGCTCCCACTCGCCTCAGCCCCCTCTTTCCCTTCCCACCTGGCGCTGCCGGCCTTTGGGCCTAAAGAAGAAGCGCCGACCGGGCCAAGAGCAGGACCTCGGGACGAGGCCATCAAGTGGAACGGCCCGGGGTGGGGTGGTCCCCTCCAGAGCGCACCCCTTCCCGCGGGCATGGCCAGCCTCTGGGTGTCCTCTGCCCTCACGGGCTGTGGGCGGGGCCGCTGCTTGCATTGCTGGGCGGGCCGGAGAAGGCGTTTCTCGGTCCATGAGCGGTTCCGGGTGACCCCCGCGGCCGGGAGCTGTCAGGGCCCCAGACACCCCGAACCCGAGACCTTGCCCTCGCCATGGCCGAGCGGCGGGGCAGCCTGGCCTCCCGCCTGGCCCGACGCCTGGCCGGGCTGGGCGTCTGGAGGGAGCGCTTGGGGAAGCGGACCCGGGAGACCCAAGACCGGGATAGGTGAGGGGGCTGCAGGCCGCGCGGGGGCGCTCCTGCCTCCTGGAGCGCGTGGGGGTGTGTCTTCCAGCGTCGAGGATGTTCAAACGGGCGAGAGTGCGTGTCTCGGAGCGTAAAAACATACTTGACCATGCACCACCCCTGGGAACGGGAATGCGGAGCGCCCTTCATAAAGTCCCTGGGCGCTTCTCAAACTTGAAACTCTAGGACGGGCGGGCGTTTTGCGCACAGTGATTTCCTCTTCAGAGACACTTAAAGGTAAAGGTAGTAAGCCTTTACTGCCGGCGCCTGTGGACTTTGGCCCTCAGCTTGCCTCTGGTCCTCAAGTCCCTTGCTCGTGAGGGTGACAGGTTCCTGGGTTGACCCGGAGGCACTGCTCGCCTTCATGGCGGTTGCAGCAGCAACAGACGTGGCCAGTTGCTTCCGACTTGAGCTGGGTTCTCTCATTTCATCCTCACAGCAGCTCTGTGAGGCAGGTATTCCTTGTGATTCAGAATCAGAGATGAGGTTCAGAGAGGTGATATCACCTGCTCAGGGTCAGCTGGGGAGCACGTGACCCCAGCGCCCACCGGAAAGCAGTGTTGACTGGGTGACAGCAGACTGCAGGCCCCGGCACAGACCTCGGTCTCAACCCTCTCTGCCCCGGGCCAGGTGACCTTGAACAAATGTCTGCTTCTTCCCAAGCCCAGGGTTCACTGGCAGCTGATGTCTGAGTAGAAGGAGGAAAGGCTCCCAGGTGGCTGGGAGGGGACAGTGAAGAGGACCCAGGTAGCTCGTGGGCCTGGTGACTGGGAGCACATGAGGTGTGCTCTCAGGCACGAGGTGTTTGTGTGTCTGTGCAGTTAGTGGGCAATTTGTTCTGATCTTATCCTGACACAGCTGTCTTCAGCCTGCCCTGGGAGGGGCAGGGGTGTGGCAAGGGCAGTGTGAGCCCAAGGGATATTGCTCTCTCACCCCAAAGTGAGAGGGCCTAGACAACTTCCTCCTGGGAGCCTGGTGGGGGGTGCCCACAAATTGCCAGTGTCCTGGCCGCCCCGTCCAGAAGACATACTCTCCCTCTCCCTGTACCCTTTCTGGCAGGAATCTGCCTTATAGGCCCAGGGTACGGCCCCTCCCTTTCCCCACTTGAGAGGAGGTGGAGTTGGCCGGCAGGTGAGTCAGGGCCGGGAGGGCGCTGCAGGCTCCTGCGCCAGGCCAGCGTGATGACACATCCTGTGCGTGCCCTGTGTAGTCGTGGGAAGGGCACTCTAGTACTGAGGTTCAGGCCTGCAATCCCTGCTGACTGCCTTGGTGGCAGGAATGGAAGTGGGAGTCGCGGGGCCGGGGGCAGGGAGCACAGTGCAAAGAGGAGGAGACTGCTGAGACACTCCACTGTGTGCCCCTATTAGTGCAGTGATGTCCAACCAGCCGTTACAGTGGGGTGGCCCCCCACTAGCTGTGTGACTCCAGGCAAGCCACTTTATCTCTCTGGGCCTCAGTGTTCTAATCTGAAAAGTGGGAGCACTGATATTCTTTTAGTGTCACTGTGAGTCTTGAAGAATTTCATGTTCACACAACTCCTAGTGCTCAGCCTGGCGCAGGGAGAGCCTCGGCAAATGAAAGCTTTTGAATTATCGGGGCTCTGATCAGAAACAGGCTGAATTCCCATTTTTGTCCGAAAGGCACCCCTGTCTTTTTCTGTCTCTGGGGTGGAGTGGAGAGTGGGGGCAGTGAACAGAGAAGAAGCTGTTGATGCACCACCCCTTTCCCAGGTTTCAGGAGCTCATGCTGCCTGTGGGCCCCTGGCCCAATCTGGGGGGGCATGAAGAACAAAGTTACTTCATTTCTTCCTGTGCTTCCTCCTCAGGCCTTGGGGTGGCAGGAGCTGCCCTGATCTGGCAGGTGGCCAGGATAGCACCAGCAGTGTCAGCCTCAAGGTAGGAAAGAATACAAAGGGGAGGGAGGGGGGCAGGAGCCTGAGCTCTGGGAGGGGCTGTGCAGGCCCTGAGAACCTTGACTTCTGAGTCAGGCAGCCAGAGTTCCTTAGCTCTCCCTCTGCCACTGATCTGCTGTGTGACTCTGGCAGATCACTCCCCACCTCTGAAGCTCAGTTTCCCCGTCTGCGAAATAGGGACAGTGAAGTCTCTCGGGACTGTTGTGACAAAAGAGTGGCTGTAGGAGATAGAGCATGGTGCCTGGGTCCTCAGAAAGCGTGGGCCCTTGGCAGAGGCAGGTAGGACAGTGCCTCCTCCCAGGACCCCCTTTTCCACACCCCCGTCTTTAGCTTGACCTTCTCCTTCCATCTTTGACCCCTTTGCACTGCTTCCTGGTATGGCCTCCCAGGGGTGACGCTCTGCTTGTGGCCTACCCTCTGGTCAGTGTCAGGTCCACAGGGGCCGAGCCATGGCTTGGATGGGATGTCCGCGCCTTGGAGGGCCAGAGCGTCCCCTCTGGAAGTGGCTCAAGCAAGCCCATGCTTCTGCGTTGTCCTAAATACCATTCATAATTACTAGCGTTCACTGAGTGATCGTTGTGCGCTGGGTACGCTGCCTGGCTCCCAGGCCACCTGCACAGCACTCCCCGGAAGCAGGTACTGTTATTATCCCGCCCATTTCACACATGGGAAAACAGGCAGGAAGCATGGCAGCCGCTGAGTGGCAGAGCTGTACCTCCCTCCAGGTCCCTAGGGAACAGTAACTACTCTTTTCCCTGTTTCTTTCGGGGTTCATCCCAGGGGACATGAGAGGCTGCCTCTGTTTCACAGAGTACAAGAGGTGTGTGAGTCGAGGGCCCCTGCCAGGAGAACTTTGAGCCCAGGCTTGGCTCTTCTGTGGCCAACGACACAGCCCATCCCTAAAATGTGTGTGTTTGGCATGGTGACAGGGAGGGGGGCAGTGTCTACATGGGCTCAGGATCCTGAGCGCCCTCCCCTCAACCCCACAGCCATGTTGGGCCCCATGGAAAACATGGTAGACGTCGGGTCAAGTTGTCCACTTTTAGGGGAGCCCTCCCCCCATGCTCTCAGGTCTCTATGCCCAAGTACCTCCTCCCGGGCATGATTGGGGAAAGACTGGGAGGGTACTGGGGAGGTGCCTGCAGGCTCTGTGGAAGCCTGGAACTGGCAGAGGCATGGGTACTCAAGGCAGGCATGCCCACACCCCTAATCCTTACCGTAACCAGTGCCAAAGGGCCAGAGGCCAGTGGATGCCTGGGGGAGTAGCTGTGAGGAGGCCTGTGAGGAGGCTGACATTATCATCCTTCTGGAGCCTGGCTAGCCCTGAGTGCCTCTGTCAGCTGGGAGGCTGTGTGGCACCTGAGAGTTGGGCCCTCACTGTGTGGATCCAGTCATGTTAGTATCCTCTCTGGGTCCCGTCTCCTCCTGTGCAGGAGGGGGAGGAAAGAGTTAAGTGCTGAAGGGCTTTTCCAGAGCTCTACCTTTTG